TTTTGTCAAAATTCATGTTGATCTGATGGAGCCTCTCTCTGAGTGAAAGAGGGGAAACAATGGCACGTGTGAGGTCTTAGAAGAGCTTTCCAGAAGCAGAAAAAGCACGTTCAAAGAGTTGGAAGTTGGGGCCAGTATGTTGCATGGTGGTGAAGGTGTTGGACTCCCACATAGTCGACTGTGGTTTGAGTCCTGGACCCGGTAGCTTGCTTTCTCACTTTCCCTCTCTGTCTCTGGTAAGCACATGTGCCCTATAGCAAATAAAAAAACAATAACTAATTTTTTAAAAGGACTTGGAAGGTTGTGTGGAGACTGCAGAGACGGTAGCAGCTCCCGATGACGGCGAGGTAGGAAATGAAGGGAAGGGTGAGGTTGGCGGGGTGCAGCTCCTGCAAGGGCTCATGTTGCCTGGCAGTGTTGGAATTTTCATCTTCAAAGCACTGAGGAGCAACTGGAGGGTTTTAATCAAGGGCATGACTTAATCAGATTTGCATTTGGGAAGGAGTCCTCTTGCTGCGATGGGATTGAAGGGGGTCGGATCAGAGCCAAGGCCAGATGGAAGGCCGGAGTCCAGGCAAGAGGAAGAGCTCTAATGAAGCAAGGGCAGAGAGCGAGAGAGGAAGGGCTGGGGCTGAAGATGGCCAGAAGGCCGAAGCCGGGGAGCTTATCAAGTGGAGAGGGAGCGAGAGAGCAGCGACTCCTGGTTTCTGGGTTAGGAAGCTGAGTAAATACTCTGACGCAAGTACCAGGCCACAGGCAAGATGTTTATATATGAGTCTTAATAGAACTTTTGGAGATGTATTTAACTGGAATAATATATGTATATATTTTAATTATTTTATTTAACTTTATTTATATATTTATTTAAATTTGACCAGAGAGGGACAGAGTGAGAGACAGAGGGAACGTGAGAAAGCAAGCCCACCAGGTCTGGGACTCAAACCTCAGTCGGCCATGTGGGAATCTAGCATCCTTAACCACTATGCCACCTGCTGGCCCCACAACTGTAATTATTTTATGGATTTAAATATACTACTTGCCCATTGTCTTTAAAGAAAAGACAGGCTCCTTTGGTTAATGTTTCCTGAAAAAAGAAAAAAAATTGTTTTTTAAACAATTTTTTAAAGGTGTATTTTATTTATTTTTTCATTTATTTATTTATTTTAGGAGAGATTTTTTTTGCTATAGGGCGTGTGTGCTTGCCAGACAGACAGAGAGAGACATAGAGACAGAAAGCGAGAAATCACCGCCCAGGGGGGATGGTCACGCCACAATCCCT